CTAAAGGCCAGACACACTCAACACATAGGGCAAATTATTGCTATGTTAGTTTCCCAGAGACTTTCTTTTTCAGTTTTAATAGAAAATATCATTTTTCAAAATAATTATCGCTGAAGTAGAAAGTATTTACTGCAGCTATGGAAAACGATTTGGTCTTATATACACCTCGATGTAATGCTTTTGGCCAGGGATGAAAATGTGCCTGGTTCAGGTTGTAAAGGAAAAGAATTGAGTCCTTTGGCTCCAAAAACCTGGTCTCAGGGTTATGCTATAGCAGAGCACAGTGCAGCTCAAGATGTGACACAAATCCCACTGGAGCAGAGGGCTGGAAGTAGAGGGGGATGTTGCTGGGAACACTCCTTCTCCCTTCCCGGCTCACATACCCTACAAGGAAGGAAGAAACATTACAATGAACAGGGACAGCTCTTTCCTCAGGGACTGTGGTCGCACAACCAGAGGCCTATGTAGGTGGAAAGAGTTTTTTTTAAGTTTTGAGTTTCTTTGGTGGCTGCAAAGAACTAAATTATTTGATGGCCTATCCTGTTGGAGAGGTTGTTTCAAAAGCATTCCTTGTAAAAAATGATACTAAGTACTAATCACAGAAGTTCTCCCATTCACCTCTTGAACTCAGAAAAGCTCAGGAAGCAGTTCTGGACATACTTGCATTTTAAAACTAGAAAATAAGTAGTCTGTGTGTGAAAGGAACACGAGGACAGCTTGGAATTTTCATCACCGGTAAAATCCACCACCTTTTTGTACTTGTAATCCTACTTGCATTGCATGTAGATTTTGTTCTTGAAAGGGTCAAAGAAAAATGGACGAAATAATTCCCAGAATAAGAAAAGGGCACAGGTGGACAGTTACAGCTGAAATTTGGACTTCGGGCAGAGTAAAAGATCTTGCATTACCTTTGTGCAGCACCAGAGCTGTGAAGAAATACATGTATCTCTTGTATGCATCCCCTTTTTTTCTTTTGTAGCAAGTAGCAGCCTCTGTAACATGAAACAATCACAACACTCCACACAATAAAGTTTTTTTGCCTTATGCACTTGGGACACAGCAAGGTTAGCGTCTTTGATCATCCCGCTTAGAAAAGAGGACAAGAATTACCATAGGAAGAGCATAGCCCCCATCTTTCTATACATCAAATATGTCTTTAAACAGGGCTACCTCCTCCTGTGCTCCCAGCACCAGGAGAGCGGGCTGATAGCACGACAGGCAAACCTTGGCTCAGTTGGACTGACTCAGGAAGTCCAGAAAATGTATCTGAATCGGTTCCACCTCCTACCTGCAGAGGCTTTTTGACGCTGCCTTTTGAAATCGCCCGTACAAATCCCATGGAAGGAGGGAAATGGTCACACTGGTGTAAAGCACGTTTAGCTCACAGAGTTCTAGCCTTAACCGATGTTGAAATCTCACGCAAAAACCTCATGGGATGTGTTTGTTCACACTTACAACAGTGGCTTCTAATGGCGCATTTATTGTCGGGACAAAAATCAAACAACGAGGGCTGCTAAAACATTGATAAAGACAATCACAGCGATTAACACTTTTCCTAAGACCATGAAGGCAGGTAAGTCTTTTACTCTTTTTTTTTTTTTTTTTTTTTTTTCCTCCATTTTTACATTATTTTCCACCTGATAACGTTTGCATGGCAGACCGTAATTCTCAGCAGGAGATGGCATTAACAGAGGACATTAACAACAGCGGACATCAGGAGGTTTTAGAGGCACTGAGGTTCATTAACAGCATTTCTCTGAACCGAATAAGGTGGACTCTTCCGCTTACACTACAGGTTTATTTCTTGACAATGAAAGAGATTTTTAACTTCGATTGTTTAAAAAGAGAAAAGAAAATGTTGTGATCCTAGATTTAAAAATCCGGGGGCCCTCTCTGCCCTTCCCGGGGATACCTGACCTTTTTTTTTGGCTCTTCTTCCCGCTGTTTCCAGGCTCCTCTGGCAGCGCAGCCCTCTCAGCCTCCAAACCCCGCAACTCCCTTATATCGTCCCTCTCCGCTTCTTTCCTTGAATCAGCCCGTGACACACCGCACCTCTCCTTCCCCTCGTCCGCAATGGACCCCGGCTCCCTCCTGCCCTGCAGACGGGTCGGTCCTTACATCTCCGCCTCTGGCAGCGGCGTGGCGAGTAGGAAAATCTCCGCTTGCCACCGCCGGACCGACAAACCCGGAGGGTTTCGTCGTCGGTGAAGAAATGAGGGATCCTGATGGGGACTCGCCGCCCGCTCCGTTATCCGCCGCATTCAGCCAGCGAGGCGGTAACTCGGCTGCAGCCTGAGCTCTCCTCCCTTAACGTACCCAAATTACACTCGTGGGATTAAATCACACAGTAAAACTAATATCGCTTATTAGCTATAAACCCCCTTCGACTGTTTTGGTTCTTTTTCTGCTTCCCTCCCTCAAGGAATAAAACGCACAACGAAAAAAAAAAAAAAAGCAGCAAATTCATGCATAATTGATTCCTTTCACTGTATAGCCAGCTGTTCCATAGGGGTGCCGAAACACACTTCCCCCTCCCCGTCCCGCAAGCTTGATGAGTGAGGAGGTGAGGATGGGGGGTGGCGGCCGCCCCTATCAGTTGTCGACCTGCTCGGAAGGGCTCCGGGAGCGGGGACCCGCCGGGGCGTGGGGGATGCGCTGCCCTTTGCCTCCCCGAGCACCAGTTCCACAAAGCTGCTAAGCGGTCTCCATTCACACGGGCTGGGGAGGATAGATTTCTCTTTGTCTCTCTATCACAGGCCTTTTTCACCTTCCTCTGCTATTCTGCTGATGCAAAACCGTGTTAAAGAAATAACGGGGAATCCGTCTGTGCCGCTTATAGGAAACAGCAAGGGTTCACGCGCGACTTAAGAAATATGTGTTTTCAAAACCAATCTGTCTGTTTACCCCAGTTTTGGTAAACCATATCTATGGAGCATCTTCACGAAAGTGTCTGGCTGCACAATATACATTTGAGGCCTCACGATCCTTCACACTTTCGACCTCATGTAGCCCTATCGTTTTTTAAGGTTTTTTCCAAATACAGGATTTGGAACTAAAGCTACATAATGCCTAAACACATTCTGCAACGATGAAATAAGAGGAATATTAAGGAATATTATATCTTCTGTACTATTGCATTCGTACTTTTGATACCAGAGCATTCATTTATAAGGAAAGGAATAAAAAAAGTCCTCTTGAAAGATTCTACAGTCTAGAAACTAGAATTTAAATCCTCTCACACCGCATTGAGATGACAAACGTGTACCCAGTGGGTTTCACGGGACCCTTCCCCATTTTTTGCTACAATCCCCAGTGGTTCCAATATGCAGACAACGTTTCAATTACATGGAATAAACATAGACACAGAAGGGGGTAGAGACGTCCCTCCCCTGTAGATGGGTGAACTTATTACCCACTCCATTTTAGGAAACCTAGACTCAGTGAACGCCAGGTCCACAGATACTTTAGCCCACACATCTCTATTCCGTATACTGGAGAACGGAGATGGGGAAACACAGTAGTCATGTTGAAACCCGCTCCTGTTGCTCCAGTGCCACCGTGGAACTGATCACTTCTGAAGTCTGCCTCCACGGAACACAAAAAATAGAACACCAGGAAAGTCAGGAAACTGGCGGCCTCTGCGGCCAAGGGCCTGCACAAAACTCTAAGGTTAAAACAACAGGGAGGAGCCCCGCTAAAGCCAGAAGGAAGTCAGAAGGAAGCAGGGCAGCACCAAGGCCGAAAAACGGCTTCAGAACAACACCGTGCCCTGCTGGAACGGCAGCAGCTCTTCTAAGAACTCCTCGCCTTCTCCCTAAGCGAGAGGGGGAAGCTGGAAACTCCCCGTATCTCAGAGAGAAGAGGGGGCGGATCCAGCCAGTAGAGCCAGGAAAAAAGAATGGAAGGGTGTCAAAATCATATAAGGCAAACAAAACAGAGAAAAAAGGGAGAATGTGGACAAAAAGGTATGGAAAAGAATGGGGTGTGAAGAGAAAAAAAGAAAGCCATTAGTATCATTCCATGGTTAGCCACCCAAAAATCCCATTGCATGCTGCCCGGGAAAAAAAAAAAAAAAAAAGAAATTAAAAGTGATAGTGCTCTTCCCAGTGTAACTCAGCGGCTGTCACCGTGGCACATCACATCAAGCAGCACAGGGAGAACGCTGGTAACCCTGCCCGGCCTGACATCCTTCCACAGTGCTCTGACGAGTTAATTCTGCTAAGGAAAGCCAGCGGGAATCTCTCACAAGACAGCATTAGAATGCAGCAAAAACTAGAAATCAACAAGGGGCCCGAGGAAGGGAACATCGCTCCTGTTGCGAAAGAATTGGTTTAGAGCTGCTGCCGGGGCATGGGATTCCTCCAGGGTTTTATTTTTGTGTGTGTGTGAGCACACTTTCCTCCCTCCCCCCAAGTTTTAAAACTCCACAGCTGCAATAACTATCGGCTCTTTGATATCCTCGAACAGAACAGAAATAATCTAAACCGATATGAACACTTCGGTTTACATCACCCTCTAACAAATACTGCATAGAGCACTTACAGCAAAGCCAGACTTTGCTTACCAAGGAACACAATGTTTACTCTAATATCATACAAAAACGTAGTTGCCACTGCTGATACATTAAAGATGTACAGATTCTCTTAAAATGTAAAAATATTTTATTAAAAATTATAGGAAGCAATTCTAAAAGAGTAACAAGCAAATAAATTGCACCCCAGAATAAAACAACTTAATTGAGTAGTATCATTTAGTATTAATAAAAACACCTCAATACAAAAAAAAACCCAAACACTTAGGCAGGCAGGAAGGGCGAAATGCACAGCTCAGGCAAACACTGAAAGAAGAAAAAAATAACAGACAGCTTACATGTTTCTGCCTGCATTCACGAGAAGAACTGAAACCGCAAAGAGCGACTCAACCCTTTATGACCATTGTGGGCGGCTCTGAAAAGAGCCTTTTTTTGGTTTGTTTAGTCTCCTGATTCGTCTTGGATACGTTCACTTGGCTTTCGCCTTGTGGCTGTCGGTCTTCTTGGGCAGCAGCACGGCCTGGATGTTGGGCAGCACCCCGCCCTGCGCGATCGTCACCTTGCCCAGCAGCTTGTTGAGCTCCTCGTCGTTGCGGATGGCCAGCTGCAGGTGGCGGGGGATGATGCGCGTCTTCTTGTTGTCGCGGGCCGCGTTGCCCGCCAGCTCCAGGATCTCGGCCGTCAGGTACTCCAGCACGGCCGCCAGGTACACCGGGGCGCCCGCGCCCACCC